CCCCCAGCACCACAGTGGTTGCAAGCTCACAGTCAGGACAGAGAGTCAAACCCTTGTCTGTTAGCTGTGAGCTCACACTGCTACACCCTGAAGTGCTCCCTGATTTAGTTCATTTAAAGTCCTCTTGTCTGACAGCACTGGCTCCTCGTGATTTTCTTCATATCTCCACAGTGGGAAGCTCCGGGACGTGTGTTGGGGCTGTATTTTGTTGCATATATCCTACTGTTTGTATTGTGCCCCTGTGTCTGACTGCTACACCCTGAAGTGCTCCCTGATTTAGTTCATTTAAAGTCCTCTTGTCTGACAGCACTGGCTCCTCGTGATTTTCTTCATATCTCCACAGTGGGAAGCTCCGGGACGTGTGTTGGGGCTGTATTTTGTTGCATATATCCTACTGTTTGTATTGTGCCCCTGTGTCTGACATCACTGCTGTTTTATGACTGTCCCTGGCCTGATGGAGCTCGTCGTTCAGGGTCTTGATTTCCTCTCTCATGCTTTCTGTTTCATTTTCCAACCTCCTAAGCTCTGTCTGTAGCTTTTCATTATCTTGTTGCAGAAGAATGTTTGCATGTTGCAAATCAACAGTGGTGTGCTGAACATCCTTCAAGCTGTTAGTTAGCTCCTGAACCTTATTTGTCACACTCTCTGTTCCCTGCTGCATGTTGTCCATTGCTCTATCCTTGGACATGATCAGCAGCTCTTTACTCCTTTGGTTATGGAGCATGGACATCTCTTCCATGTACTTTTCATGGGCCTGCAACTCTGCCTTTAGAGCCTCATTTTCATTGTACAGGCCCAGTTTCTCTTTGAAGAGATGTTGACATTCCTCTTCTTTTACCTGTGCAAGTTTCTTAAGATCTTCAACTGTATCATATAGACCCACTCTTTCTTTATGGAAAAAGTCATTTTCATGTTGAAGTTCCTGTTTTTCCTTGTTCCCCGAGCGCTTGATGTTCTTTTTCAGTTGGTCCATTTGTTTCTTGTACTTCTGGTGGGCCTGCATCTCTGTCTTTAGAGCCACAACTTTATTGTACAGGTCCTGTTTCTCTTTGATGAGATGTTGACATTCCTCTTCTTTGGCCTGTGCGAGTTTCTTAAACTCTTCAATTATATCATATAGGCCCACTCTTTGTTTATGGAGAAAGTAATTTTCATATTGAAGTTCCCGTTTTTCCTTGTTCTTTGAGAACTTGATGTTCATTTTCAGTTGGTCCATTTCTTGCTGAAGTTTGCAATTATTGCTGAGGAGGTCAAACCTAAGTTGCAGAAGAATGTTTGCACATTGCAATTCAGCTTGAGGGATGCTCAGCACACCACTGTTGTTAGTTGGCTCCTGAACCTTATTTGTCACACTCTCTGTTTCCTGCTGCATGTTGTCCATTGCTCTATCTTTGGACATGATCAGCAGCTTGTCACTCCTTTGCTTATGGAGCATGGACATCTCTTCCCTGTACTTTTTGTGGGCCTGCAACTCTGCCTTTAGAGCCTCATTTTCATTGTACAGGCCCAGTTTCTCTTTGAAGAGATGTTGACATTCCTCTTCTTTGGCCTGTGTGTGTTTCTTAAGCTCTTCCATTTTATCATATAGGCCGAGTCTTTCTTTAAGGAAAATTTCACTTTCACGCTGAAGTTCCTGTTTTTTCTTGTTCTTTATGCGCTTGATATTCATTTTCAGTTGGTCCATTTCTTCCCTGTACTTTTTGTGGGCCTGCAACTCTGCCTTTAGAGCCGCACTTTTATTGAACAGGTCCTGTTTCTCTGTGAGGAGATGATGACTTTTCTTTGCTTTGGCCTGTGTGAGTTCCTTAAGACCTTCAATTATATGATGTAGGCCCACTCTTTCTTTGTGGAGAAACCTATTTTCATGTTGAAGTTCT